GGAGGAAAAGAAGGAGAGAGGGAGGAAAAGGAAGGAGAGAGGAAGGAAAGAGAAAGAAAGAAAGAGAAAGAGAAAAGAAAAAGAAAACGAGAAGAGAAAGAGAAAGAGAAAGAGAAAAGAGAATGAGAGAGAGGAGAGAGAGAGAGAGAAGAGAGAAGAGAGAGAGAGAGAGGAGAGAGAAGCGAGAGAGAGGAGAGAGGAGAGAGAGAAGACCTCTCCGAGAGATGCCGAAGACAAAGACAACTACCGACACACAGATTTCCCAATGACAAACCCCCGTTCCTTACCGGAGAAGTTGCGGAAATCGAGGAAGAGAAGATAGTGGAAAGGAAGAAAAAAAAATCCCAAGAAAGGTTAGGGGGAAGGAAATGGAAAAATCGAAATGACAAAGAAAGAAAAAAATAACTCGAATAAAAGAGAAATAGGAAATTAAGGTCACAGGAAGCAGAGTGCGAAGATGGACACAGACAAGTAGGAAAATTAAAGGAAAAATGAGTAAATAGCGAAACCGTAAAAGTAGGAAAATAAAAGAAAATTAAAGGAGTAACGGATAACGAGAAGAGAATAAGAATGAGAAAAAAATGGAGGAGAAATAAATGAAAAAAAAAAAAAAATCGACGAATCAGAATAGGAAAAAAAAAGAAGAAAACGAAGTGTTTGGAAAGCATGAAGTGAGCGAATGAAGGAATAACGGAAAACGAAAAGTGAAAGAGAAAAAATGAAGTAAATGAATGAGTAATATGCCAAAAAACGAAAGAAGGAAGGGAGAAAAGGTAAATAATTAAGTAAAGAAATAGATAATTAAATGAATGAATGAACAAAGAAATACTGGAAAAAAATCTACGAAGAGTGTAAAGAGAGAAACAGCAATTTGAATATTTAAGAAGCGTGAAGCGAGCGAAAGAAGGAATAGATAAATAGATGAATAAACAGATAAACAGACAAATATGTCAGTAAATAAACATATAAATAATTGAATAAATAACAAAGAAAGACTTTAAAAAGTCAACGAAGAGAGTAAAGAGAGAAGAAGCAATTTGAATGTTTGCGAAGCGTGAAGGGAGCGAAAGAAGGAATAGATGAATAAACAGATAAATAGATAAATATGTCAGTAAATAAATAAATATGTAAATAAGTGAATAAATAAATATGTATATATATATATATATATATATATTATAATATATATATATATATATATATATATATATGTATATGTATAATTAAGTGAATAAATAAATGAATATGTAAATAAGTGAATATATAAGTAAACATGTAAATAAGTGAATAAATAAATAAATATTGAATTAAGTGAATAATAAATAAACATGTAAGTAAGTGAATAAATAAATAAATATGTAAATAAGTGAATAAATAAATAAACATGTAAATAAGTGAATAAACGAATAGATATTTAATTAAGTAAATAAATAAATAAATATGTAAATAAGTGAATAAATAAATAAACATGTAAATAAGTGAATAAATAAATAAAGAAAGAATGAAAAAGTCAACGAAGAGTGTAAAGAGAGAAGAAGCAATTTGAATGTTTGCGAAGCGTGAAGCCGGGCGCAGGAAGCAAGGTTGACTTCGCTTGTTTGTTTGTTTGTCTTGTTTTGTTTTGTCGGGAGTTGAGTGGCGGGAAGGCGAGTTGCTTTTCACGTATTTGGTGTCTTCTTTTCTTTCGTCTGTTTTTGTTTGTTTGTATTTTTATTCTCATGCTTTCTTTTAGTGTTGCTTTTTTATTCCCGTTTTCTTTTATTTTTTTCTCTGCTGTTTTCTTGGCGTTTTGTTTTATTAGTTTCGTTTTTATTTTTTGTTTTTTGTTTTGTTTTTGATCTCTTGGTTTCTTTCTGCTCTTGTTTTCTTTTATCTGTGTCTGTCTCTATCTCTATGTGTCTCTTTTATCCTCATTCTCTCTCTCTCTCTCTCTCTCTCTCTCTGTCCTCTCTCTCTCTCTCCCCCTCCCTCCCTCCCTCCCTTCCCCTCCCCTCCCTCCTTCCCTCCTTTCCCTCCTTCCCTCCTTCCCTCCTTCCCTCTCACTCTCACTCTCTCTCTCTCTCTCTCTCTCTCTCTCTCTCTCTCCTCTCTCTCTCTCTCTCTCTCTCTCTCTCTCTCTCCCTCCTTCTCTCTCTCTCTCTCCCTCCTTCTCTCTCTCTCTCTCCTCTCTCTCTCTCTCTCTCTCTCTCTCTCTCTCTCTCTCTCTCTCTCTCTCCTTTCTCTCTCTCTCTCTCTCTCTCTCTCTCTCTCTCTCCTCTCTCTCTCTCTCTCTCTCTCTCTCTCTCTCTCTCTCTCTCTCTCTCGTTTCTCACTCCATATGTCTCTCCCTCTCCCTCTCTCCTCAGTATCCCCTCCTCCTCCCTCCTCCTCCCTCCTCCTCCCTCCTCCTCCCTCCTCCTCCCTCCTTTGCCCCTCTGTTTCGTTTCTGTCTCGAGTTACGTACACTTCTATGGCACTGATAAGGCAAGTATCTCGAGTGTTTGTGTGTTTGAGAAGAGGG